CAGATGACGCAGATACAAGTGAATGGCAGAAGGAATTGGAACGCGGTGTAGAAAAGACAACAGACAATCCTACACCTAGACATAAAACAGATGACGCAGATACAAGTGAATGGCAGACGGACGCCAAAGATGAAGAAAAACTCCCTAGTGGTTACAATCGGGACGATAGTCTCAAAGAACTCGATACATGGGACCATGTAACGACAGGTAACCACAGTAACCACAGTAACCACAGTAACCACAGTAACAGGGACCATGCAACGACAAACTCATTTGAAAATATTTGGCACAGCATCTATGCCCCCCAAGACTCCTGGATACCTGATATTACACCAAAACGAACGGATACGAACACAACAAATTATTTCACTAACTTCTCTTTTCTCCCCGGAAATTTCGGGCTTGGAGTTTGGATTCCTCCTGTATCAACAGATGACTCCGAGGCATGGTCGATGCGGACTTGGAGTCCAAGTAAAGTTTCAAGGCCACAGTCAGACAAGATGGTTCACAAATACAAGGATCCTATACCTATAATACACCCGCCATCGACTGGTAATTATGTTGATGCACCTATTGAAGCCTTGTCAGGGCTTCATAATGATGATGCTGCTCCTATTTTTGACAAGTCATGGCTTCGCAAAGAACGACGGCCAACTCCTGGAAAAGACACTCCATCTTCATCACAGACAACAAAGCCCTGGTCCACAGCTAAACTTGGAAGCGAAACTACGACGCTCGACATCTCTAGTATGATGAAGGGAACGGTAGTCTCAGATGAAACAGTTGAAGCTGACAACAAATCCGCAGCATTCAACAAAGACTTTGGAGAAGTTGAGGATATGGTTCTGATAGGAGGCAACATGTTTCTTGTCATCGCAGCAGCGGTATTTAATCTCCTAGTCATCAAGTTCTACAAACATCAGGCCAAGAAGCTAATCCCTTTTATCTACTTCTCAGTGGCACTGGCAGATCTAGTAACCGCTCTGTCCTGTCTCCTGCACCCTGTTATCCTGGCCCTGCTCATGTTCACTACCTCTCACAACACTCTCAGCTCCGTTCTTATACTTTTATGTTTCCTCTCCTCCAGTACCTCCATCAGGGTGGGTGTATTCTACAACCTCATCCTATCCGTTGTGAGGTCCATAAACATCGTCCAGCCCTTCTATCAGGTCAAGCTTGGGTATCTGAAAGTTGCTAGTGTCGTCTATCCTGCTATTTGGGCTGTGGTGGGAGCAGTTGATGTCTATTGGGTAGTCGACCTAGGGTACATGATGTACCCAAAAGCAATGTTCAAACATATGATATATAAGCCGATGTCTGGTAGTGGTCTGGCCGCGCTGGTGCTCGGTGAAGATGCAACATACCTACAAATCATTTTGTTCGGGATGACAGTTCCCTTCTTAATTCCTTCGCTCCTTGTCACGATCTGTCTCGTGTTCCAGATCCACTACCTTAACATATCAACAGCTCATCTGGGGAAAGGAGCCAAGATTGTCTCCAAAAGACCGGCCATCACAATCCTCCAGCTCACTCTCCTTTTCATCACCTGCAACCTCACAGCTACTGCTGTGTTCATCTACTTCTACGCTCCTAGTGGATCTGAACAACGCAGGACGGGGGCGCGTGATGCGCGGCTCATGTACGTGTCTTCATCTGTCCTGCATGTGTTCAATGCCACTTTCAGTCCTCTAATCATGATCCTGAGAGGAAGGTCCCTGAAAACTGCCATCCAGTCAGAGATAAAGAGCATCAAGACCAAATTTAGCACCAGAACTAGCAGCGTGGAACCTCGTTCAAATGGAGTCAAAGTTATCGTGTACAGATACTGAGCATATTTAACAAACTCAAAACCAAAATATTATATTATGGTTTTTAATCGTTGATGTTTAGTTTTTATGTCAAATATTATTTAATATAATATTATGCACCAAAATAAATAAGTTTAATTTAAAAATTAAAATGCATGGAAATTTATAGTCATTGACTGCTTAACAGATTAGTAAATATTGTTTGATTTTTTAAAAAACGTTATTATTGAAAAATGTATTATTTTGATATGTCAGACCACTGACCACTATTTGTACAAAATCTCTTCGGGCACAGCGGGAATGAAATTTAAAAGAAATTACAGCAGATCAAGCAGTATTGAAACAAATTTAATTTCAGGCTGTTTTTTCATCTTTAAACGTTAGTAATACCAACAACAATCATCGAATGATTGACTATTTGGAGGGCTATATCATATAATATATCGTAGCCGATGAACGTAACATCAGCTGAGAACAAACGCAAAACAATGGAGCAGATACCACCTAAACAGTAAACTCTATATTACTACACTGCAGTGTACTATACTTGCTATAATAGTATTACTATAAAGCTATAATACTAGGTATGCACTATGCTCCACATATCCAATGTAACCAAGGTAACCGATCGGAAAACGCTCGCTGAACGACGTGAGGAGCCGACAGAGTGATTAATCACTTTACTCTCGCGGTCACGTGACTAGCTTTACCTTGTTCTGTAAGTATAATCCCTGTTATGTAGTTAGAAGTGAATATTGAATCGTTGTAAAGGGAATATTTATTTTACTATCTTATACCTCAAATATATTTATAATGGTGAGTACTGTCAAATATCGACAAACTTTTGACATAATATCGTCAAAATATCGTCAAATATCTGATTATTAATAGATATAGAAATTTACGCACGTCTTCCAGATATATCCGAAGCGTGGAGAGAAGTATTTGTGGACTTTCATGGAACTCTGAAGTACACCTTATTGATCTCATCTTGCATTCTAAATTCTTAAATATGTACGCAACGTTATTACTATCACAATTCAATATTCCATTAATAATGAAATTATGGCTATTATGGAAACTATATCAATAAGCAAAAAGTTTTTAATTTTTCTGAATGCTTCCTTTGTGATTTCTATGCCCTCTTTTGTGTTAATTCATTTAAGAACTCTGTGACGTTTTCTGAGGATTTTAATGCAAATTTTATGCCCGGGATTTTATGTGCTATTAAGCCAGTTTAGGAAGAAATCAAAGTTTTCTTGGCCATGTGTCCATGGGACATAAACGTCACTTTTGGGTTCACTTTTGAACCTAACCCAATATTATGGTCTAACTTATCAATGGCAGTGTCAGGCTGTCAGCATAGGCACATGCATTTTTCGGTTCCATCGCGCTGTACCTTTGATTTGTCTGATGGTATCTCCTTCAAATTCGGTGATGACATTTTTAATTTCAAGAGCATCTACATTCTACAATACATTCCGTCAGTCGACGACAACATAACGGCAAAATTTGCATAAAGCTGTATTAAAACTAGCCGTACATGATGGCATTAAGAATTAAGATAAAACTATTAATTTAAGATTTCTTTGGTAACATTTTTTTAAAGTGGTAAAAACTTGCGCTTTTTGCTCAAATTCTGAATAACTTTTTTCTTGTGCACTTTTAATTTTATCAAATTGACCTGAAAACATTTGTATCGCCCGGTACCTACTTGATACTTTTAAGAGACGCATTAACACGCAAAAGCATTTAGTGTTATTACTATACAAAAAATAGAGGATGGTGTGATCTTACTGCTAGTGCCAACACTGCAATTATTTGATTACCTAAAGAGTTTCGGGCTTCCTGAGTTTAAAACGCGCATTTGTGTATCACGTGACCGATGTCTGATAAGGCCTCATTTTTATTTCGAAACGGATTCTTAATCCTTATACATCATAACTAACTATCTAACTATATAACTAACTACTAACTAACTATCTAACTATCGTACTGTCCAATTATTAGTTAGGTTGCCAAACTTGTAGCAGAAAACACGACATTTTAATAGCTTTTATCCTTTTATCTATTCTTGTCATCTTTAAAATTAAATTTGAAAATTTCAAACTAAATATTAACCTTCCAAACGACTTCTGCTGTGTCTAAATGAAAAATTAATATATTAATTTTAAACTACCTGTTATCGGACCTTGGCCTTATTTGAATGGACATTATGTGAACGGACATTAAAATGAACGCTCAAAGGAGTTCAAAACCATTAAAAATCCGAATTTATTCATTTTTTTTCCAAGTTTAACAGATAATTTTTAAATCGATTTTTCATACAGCAAATAAGAAAAGCAGTTGTTAGGCAATAAAAATGTTAAATTCTGTGCAGATGAGGTATGAAGGTACATCGGCCATATCCCTCGGAAGATATCCCGGTTTCGAATTCTATATTATCGAGATGATTGGTAATAGTATGTAATGGTAGGATGTATCATCGTTGACATGAACCACCGAAAGTAGGCTATGCCAAGTGGGGGGCTAGAGATATAGCTCAAGTTGTACTTCAGGCATTTGCATTCTAGTACCTCTGGTAGAGCAGTTGATATCGTTCATTACCCGGTACTACAACTACTAGTTGGATAAACAACCAGTTGTAAGAGATCTAGAACTAGAAGATGTAGAGGTAGATTACTAGTAACTCCGAAGAAATGAACGAGGGACCGTTATAGATCAAGAAAGTACAGAAGTTCCATAATATGATATTTATAATATCTAAATTTTATGATAACTTGTTTTTCATTGATCCAATGATATTCATATAGTTTAGTTCGATGATAGAAATTGAAATTAACTGAAATTAAAAGTTGTCATATCCTGGACAATAAGTTCGCAGTGGAAAAATTTTTGAACAAAATTCAACTGACTTTAATTTGGACGGACCTTAAACGGACGGAAATTATTTGAACGGACATTAAGATGAACGCTAGGGCCTCCAGCGTTCAATCAATGACTGTTCAAATAAGGTCCGATAAGGTAAAGGGTATCCATATAAAGACTGACAGTCGTGCTTGCCAGCGCTATAATTATGCAAGTAAACAAATTGACTACCACTTTTAGTTTTAGCATGTAAAGCCGTTGCTTCGTCAGAATGATACGCAATACGTACGAGAAATTAATGAGTACGCAATAAAAAGCTTTATTAATGCAGTAGTAAAAATTTAATTATGTCGAAGCTATTGTAAAAAGATATTTAAAATACAATCCGATGTGTAAATAAATTCGCTCCCACTAAATCGCTCGCCAAAATTTTTAAAAATTCTTGTAAAAATACCCTGAGGGTATGAAAGTAATTCGAATAGGTGTATTTTGATGATTTCGAATCACTCCCCATGACGTAGGGTAAAAATGCTTATGGGCAAAAAATATTTTGGTCACGTGACAGGCTGGTAAAACACGAATTCGATTGTTTAGAGCTCGGGTTAGGGTTGTGGTTAGGGTTATTGTTAAGCTGCACTAACAAAAAAGGTTACGTGATAATTTTTGGGCGAGCGAATTAGTAAAAGCTAAATAAATTATTACGGTAACGTTTGTTCGATGATTTTATTTAAAAAGGGAGGGCATGCATAAAAATTTTAAAATATACCAATAAAAACTTAATAAAATTATGGCCGGAGTGCTTCATAGTCTGACTAAAAAATAAACATCAGCTAATTGTCTATTCAGGGCACTCAGTTGTTACTGAGAAACATTCGGTAATCTTTGGTAAAGCGGAACTGTAGCTAGTCATTCCGGTGATTTGCATTTGTCCATCATCTCCATAGCGAAGGAGGAAAATGCTTCGATCATTCATCAACGGAGCAACACAATCTTTGTTGACAGATTCTCCAAATTTAGCGGTTGCTCTCAAACTTCTGATAAAGTCGTTTCCTTGACAAGCTTTGTAGGGTACAGCACTTTTAATTTCGATAGAGTCTTCCTCGATTTCACCTGGATATCCCAAGACGATGGCTTCTGTATTCTGGAATAGATCACAAGATAAAGCGAGAGAGCATCTGGTTTCATCAGACTCCTCAAAACCATCTCCAGACTCATCAATAGAGTAAAAGATGGTCTGCCTTTTAGAGGGATTGTAGTAATCTATCAAAGATACTTGCACTGGCATTCTGTTGGTCACGTCGAACTTTATGTCCATGGGGAGGTTGAATTCGATTTCTTTAAGCTTTGTGGCAGGATCCACGTAAAGATGAAGTCTTTGTCCTCCTTCCTTGATGTCGTATCTTGTAATAGCAGAGAATCCACCGTCGGTCAACTGAAGTTGTCCCTCAACAAGAGACTTTGTGAAGACAATACCAGTAGGTGAAGCTACCTCCAGCAGATACATTGTCGAATTGGACTCCTCAGGAAGTCTAAAAGAAATCCTGAGGGTTGGAAGTTTTTTCATCATAGCGGCTTCGGCTTTGAGTCCGAACAGGGGCTCGTAATCTTTACCTATAACGTGGTAAGATGAGATAAGCTGGACGAATGCAGTTCCAACGCCACTGTATCTGATATTGTAGACGCCAACTTCGGGTGAAAGAACGACTTCTTGGGTGACCATTTTGTTATCTTTTTTTATTAAGATCTTCTCGAAGTATGACTTGCCTTTTCCTATTGCTATAGTTAAATCAGTTTTTTTTGGCATGACAGAATTACTTACCTCCGCAAACTTAGCAAGAGCCTGCAGTCCAATGACAGTGTCTTGGCTGGATCGGAATCCTCCATTCTCATTTCTTTGACTGGCAAGCCACGTGATCATTGGAAGACTGTCTTCAATTCTGTCTTTCTGCAAGAAATACAATGCTGCATAGCCAGTAGCTTCAATAGACTTACTTGACCCCATGAAGGATTCAAATTCAAGATTATCTTCACAAGTGGCAAACTTATACCGCCCATCAGTAGATGAGCCCATACACTTTTCATGATCTCTGAAAGGCAGCTTTTTCCAGCTCTCGACATGATCAAGAAGTCCATGGTCTTTGCAGAGTTGGATGGAATAGGCAACCATATGATGATAGCAGCAATCGTCTGATCGAGAAGCTAATTCGAGGGTGGCATTGCAAACCTTTCCCAGTCTTCCGAAGGTATATGAGGAATCAGTCAAGGTGCTTCCACATCGGTTCACTCCATTACTCTCAAGCATGGAAATGAGGAAGTAAGAATTCCAGTAAAGGTCCTTGTTTTGATGATAGTTGTATTGGTAAGGAGCCCACCCGTCTCTGGCAACAGTTGCTGTGTATTGAGAACTGCTTGCATAACGTAACTGTCGGAGTAAGAATTCTCTATCACTATTAAGTGCCGTATCGCAGGGAACAAATACTTCATCTGGGAACAAAGCGACTACTTTGTTTACGAAGGCAGTCAACCAGACACTAGAATCTCCCCCTCTAAATACTGAGTACCCTCTGCTGTAGCTGGCTGATCCTTTTCTGTAGGCAAGCTGTTGCTGCAGTCCGATGTTCAGGTTGTGCTTGATGCTGTAATCAAGATTTTCAGGAAGTTCGTCGTAGAGGGATTTGATATAGTTTGCTGAGAAAACGTTGATCGCAATCTTGTGCATGTTCTGCTCACCACATCCCGACGGTAGTTGAATCAAGCTTGAAATTCCCGCCACAGCTTCTCCAAGGATATCTCCAACAGCTACAAGTTTTAGATCGTGTGAGCCTGGTATGAAACCATCCGGAAGTTCAACACGCATAGTTTTTACATTTTTTTCCCTTGACTTACCTTTCTGCATTATCAATAAACTGCTTGAATCAATAATTTTTTCACCACCTGGCTGAACGAATAGGCTCTTTTGGACAGCATCTGACTCACCAGTACTGGTCTCTGCTGTGACAGTGATGTCATGGTTCCCAGCCTCGGTGAGGCTTATTTCATATTGAACAGTAGTAGCTTCGTTAGAAGCTATGGTCACTGTTGCATCCTGGTCACCCCACATTTCGGAAGAGATTCGGACTGTTGCTGAAACTTCGTCATCTAAATAGTTAAATATTCTGACAGGAATAGTTATTCTCTCTCCGACAGTTCCAGAATATGGTAAGTCTAAACTTATAAAGAAAGGAAGGAATGTTTGGAACTCTATTTCATTAGAAAATCCCAATCCTTTTTCAGGGGACAGTCCGAAGGCACTTCCTTTCCATCCTGTGATTGTGTCAGGTGCTAATACTGAAATGACATTCTTTCCGTTTTCATCACTGACCATATCGGTCCAAAGCCAGGCCTCAGGGAAGTAGTTCCTCATTCTAGGAGAAGCATCTTCATCTGCATCTTGAGCTGGTTCATCAGGTGCGTCATCTGCCTCCACCGCATAGGAAGCTTCCATCATCTCTGCCTCAGCATACATCTCACCGTAGCCACCTCCACTATTATACACTCGGTAGGGATAGTACTCTTCCTCTCTGTTGTTGGAACTTGGAGCAACGTAATCAAATATGTTCATGTTTGTGGTAATTTTCAAGCCTTCACTTTTTAAAAGATCTTTGACGTCGATTATTTTTACTTCGGTGCTGGATTTGCATTGGTATGGGTCATCTCTTTGACAGCTGAGGTCTTTGGTGGTTCCACTGTCCAAACTTCTCAAGAACGACAACGTTGATTCCTTGGTCAATACTTTGCAGGGCTCCCTCAAAAGATTCAGACTCGCATCGTTGACACTGATTCCAACGAAAGACACAGGATCACTCGTCAAATACATGGTTACGTTTTCACCAGGCCTAGCAGTTTCTGTATCTAATTGAAGATCAATCTTATGTTTCAATTCTTCAACCATACAGAGATCCATGGCATCTGCCAAAATGTAACCAGAACGGTCATTAGCTGTTAGAACTAGCAGACGAGACCTTGTTATAATGTCATCGGGAATCATTATGGATCCCTCAGCAAATAATCTTCCCGATTCGTCATCTTGCCATTCTGGGACATCGTTCCAACTTTTAACAATGCTTCCCTTAGACAGAATAATGAAATGTAAGGTTTCGACCCTTTTGTTGGAAAGCACCTTATAAGAAGCCATATCACTGGCATTGTATGACCTTGGTTCGGTCTTGACGAAGCGAATGAATTCGTCAGCCTTTGCAACCATTCTTTCGGGTTGGTAGCAAGCAAAGACTTCATCACAAGCGGCATCAATATCCATTTCAGCTGTAATCTTCAAAGCACATGCATCTTCAGGAACATCGAATGACGCAAACACTTTTCCATCTTGGACACGAACCTCTTTTGAGACATATTTGAGATCAGTGAGGCCTGAGATCATCATGAGCTTGACTGGCATGTTTTCAATTTCAGTTGTAGTGAGTGCCTCAACATCCAGTTCAACATAGAAGGGGAATCCAGCGGCATAGTTTTTTTGAGTATTCTTGTTGAAAGATAGCTTCATAGACGTTTGAGTGAACTCCGTTGATGAGTCTACCTTCTCGACGTTGAAGCCCTGTAAAATTGCATATGGTGGTAACTATTTCTAGATAACTGCGTTGTTTTACATTTTGGAATAATTGCTAGCGATATGTCTATGTAGTCAAAGTTGATGATTGTTATTTTGCTACAGAAAAAGACTTACTCCTTCAGCATCGGAGACAGAAGCAGCGATAACAAGGATAGATGGACTACAGAAAGGATTGAACAAGTATTTAAGCTTTCTTGATGTTAAATCTGTGATGTCGATCTGAAAAGGTTATTTTTGTTACTCAATGAGACTATTTCTCTGGAAAAATCACGTGCATTAAATATTAAATCTCATTCCTAGAGAGGCGGAACAATTGAATATCCAAACATTGTTTTAGAAAAGATAATATTTTTTACCTCCCAGTCTGCTTTTCCATCAACAAGTTCAGTTGTAACTTCTTTGAAGTGATAAGCTCCTGAGTACATTTTCTGTTGTTTGTTGTCAACAGCGAACTTCAGGACTACTTTCCCGTTAACAGGTTTGCCGTATGTATAGGTGGCGGAGACTTTACCTCGAACCATCGTGTCTCCAGATGCGATGTGTTCCGGTCCTGATAAGAATTGTTGAATTCATTAATGTTGCTTCCTTTTTATTATTTAGCGCATCTAATGCAGCGATTGTAATTTTGGATTTGCAACTATGAGAAGATTGGAAACTGCTCAGCACCAGGCAATCAATTTATTGATCAGAAATATCCAAACAAACCTTCAATTTCTACACCGAACTTTGGAAGAACGTATTCCTCCACAGAGAAAGAGCAGGAAGCAGAGTTCTTGCCGGTCACTCTGATTGTGTAGATTCCTATCTTTGCTTCTTCGGCTAGCAGGAATGTTCCTTGGTGGATTACTCCTTCTTCTTCGTTAAAGATCACTTCATTGAAGAACTGGAGTTGTTAGATTTAAAATATGCATCTAATAGGAACATATTTAGTTTTTATCAAATCCGTTTCGAAACAGCCATTTAAGAATTATTTGAATGAATAAAGTATACAGATTTGTTCATATCTTGATGAAACAGTACTTGCTGATAATTGCATGATTAGAATAAAAATGTAAACTGACCTCTACACCATCAGGATTAGTTATTTTCACTTTGAGTCCGTCTGAGAGAGTCAGTCCCTTCAAATCAGAATCAATAGAAAATCCCCGAAACCTGCAATGATTCATTCAAATAATCAGCTTTAATTAAAATTTTTATTCTAAATCTAAGTAAAACCTAATTTATGCATAGTTTTTGAGTTAAATTGTTAAATATTGGGATTTGATTTGAGCAATTTTAACCTACCTGACAGCTTGGCCTGGTTTGTAAACAGGTTTGTCAGTCTGAACGTAGGACTTGTATCCGGTCTGTGTTACTGAGATAGATCCAGCATCAAACCTAAATCTTCCATATCCTTCAATAAATCCGGAGTATTTTACGACGTGTGTACCAACTATCTGCTCAGGGACCTAAGAGAAAACCGATCGTTTAAAAGTTAAAGAAAGTTAGAGAAAGTTAGTGAAAGTTAGAGAAAGTAAGTGAAAGTTAGAGAAACATAGTGAAAGTTAGTGAAAGTTAGTGAAAGTTAGAGAAAGTTAATGAAAATAAGCAAGGGGAATAATTTTGGCGTAGTTTTCTCACCATAACTGGAATGTCAATTATTTTGTCATCCTCAGAGATCTGATACATTTTCTCCATCAGCACGTTTCTGGAGGGGATATCATATTATGTTGTAACCTATTTTCAATTCGGCATTTTTAATATCTGTACAATTAAGTGAGTAGAATAATGAATCAATTAAGCTATTCAGTTTATAGAAGACAAAGATAAATGCTCAAATATTAATAGAGAAGATTAGATCTTTATGATTATTCTCTCAGTATGAAAGCGTTTTCCAAACTTACTCTTGGTAAAGATTTTCAGGGTAGTAGTATCGAGTGTAGTTGTAATACTTGATAGAGATATTACCAGAATTCTCCGTGAACATCATCAGCTTTAAGTTGGTCTGAAAAGTGACAAAATTACAGGACACAGCGTTTCTGTTGAACACATAATTTATAGCCAACTTTGTTATCATGCTCTCTGATAAATTAAAGTTCACTATAACTTCCAATAAGAAATAGTAAAGTTTCACAAAAACTCACCATGTGTCCAGCTTTGAAGCTTGGAGGAGAGAGAAACACGAAGGGAGGCATGCCAGTGCTCACATCTTCTGTAGTTTTTTGTGTGCTCACTGTTGCAAAGACAACCAAGAGCCCAACTACGGAGCCAAGCATTGCCATTGCTGTAATTTGATCATAAGTATTTAGCATGTAAGGTGTTGACGTATATTGAACTATTGAATAAAGAAACCCGACATTGATGACATGATATAGTGAAATTTTGTTGCTTATATATAAGCAACAAAACTTCATAAGCAAAAAAGTATATATATATATGTATGCACTTTTCTTTAATATAATAGGTAAACATATTTTACTAGAACATATTATTATAATAATAATATTGAAATCCTAATCTACTGACCTATAGATTGATTCTTTAGCCTTGTAATGATTTATGTTTCAATGATATGAATGAAGCGACGAGAGCATTTTAATCATTTCGGTCGTTTATTGAGGTGGCTATTTTCAGGGTAAAAATAAAACTGCAAATATTTTGAACTTTATTAATGCAATATACCAAAAACTTCAAATCATCAATTTAAAGACTAAAAAATAGCAACAGCAAAATTTCAGTGTCTAATGTCTATTCTGGGCACACGGTCACCACTGAGTAACATTCGGTTATCTTTGGCAGAGCAGAATTGTAGTCGGTCATTCCCGTGATTTCCATTTGTCCATCATCTTCATAGCGAAGGAAGAAAATGCTTCGAGTATTCATCAATGGAGCAACGCAATCCCTGCTGAATGACTTTGCAAATTTAGCAGTTGCTTTTCGACTTCTGACAAAGTTTCCGTTGCAAGTTTTGTAAGGGAAAGCTTCTTTGATTTCGATGGAGTCTTCCTCAATTTCACCGGGATATCCCAAAACGATGGCCTCTGTATCCTGGAATAGATCACAAGATAAAGCGAGAGAGCATCTGGTTTCATCAGACTCCTCAAAACCATCTCCAGACTCATCAATAGAGTAGAAGATGGTCTGCCTTTTAGAGGGATTGTAGTAATCTATCAGAGATACTTGTACTGGCATTCTGTTGGTCACCTCGAACTTAGTGTCCATGGGGATGTTAAATTCGATTTCTCTAAGCTTTGTGGCAGGATCCACGTAGAGATGAAGCCGTTGTCCTCCTTCCTTGATGTCGTATCTTGTAATAGCAGAGAATCCACCGTCGGTCAATTGAAGTTGTCCCTCAACAAGAGACTTTGTGAAGACAATACCAGTAGGTGAAGCTACCTCCAGCAGATACATTGTTGAGTTGGACTCTTCAGGTAACCTGAAAGAAATCCTGATGGTTGGAAGTTTTTTCATCATGGCAGCTTCGGCTTTGAGCCCGAACAGGGGCTCGTAATCTTTACCTATAACGTGGTAAGAAGAGATAAGTTGGACGAATGCAGTTCCGACTCCAGTCCATTTGATTTTGTAATCACCAACCTCGGGTGCAATAACAACTTCTTTGGTAACCATTTTGTTATCTTCTTTGATTCGGATCTTCTCGAAGTATGACCTGCCTTTTCCTATTACTATAGTTAAATCAGTTTTTTTAGGCATGACGGCATTGCTTATCGCCGCAAATTTAGCAAGAGCCTGCAGTCCAATGACAGTGTCTTGGCTGGATCGGAATCCTCCGTTCTCATTTCTTTGACTGGCAAGCCACATGATCATTGGAAGACTGTCTTCAATTCTGTCTTTCTGCAAGAAATACAATGCTGCATAGCCAGTAGCTTCAATAGACTTACTTGACCCCATGAAGGATTCAAATTCAAGATTATCTTCACAAGTGGCAAACTTATACTTCCCATCAGTTGACGAGCCCATACACTTTTCATCTTCTCTGAAAGGAAGGTTTCTCCAGTCCTCAACATGGTCAAGAAGTCCATGGTCTTTGCAGAGTTGGATGGAATAGGCAACCATATGATGATAGCAGCAATCATCTGATCGAGAAGCTAATTCGAGGGTGGCATTGCAAACCTTTCCCAGTCTTCCGAAGGTATATGAGGAATCAGTCAAGGTGCTTCCACATCGGTTCACTCCATTACTCTCAAGCATGGAAATGAGGAAGTAAGAATTCCAGTAAAGGTCCTTGTTTTGATGATAGTTGTATTGGTAAGGAGCCCACCCGTCTCTGGCAACAGTTGTTGTGTATTGAGAACTGCTTGCATAACGTATCTGTCGGAGTAAGAATTCTCTATCACTATTAAGTGCCGTATCGCAGGGAACAAATACTTCTTCTGGGAACAGAGCGACTACTTTGTGTACGAAGGCAGTCAACCAGTCACTAGAATCTCCCCCTCTAAATACTGAATACCCGCTGCTGTAGCCGGTTGATCCTCTTCTGTAAGCAAGTTGTTGCTGCAGTCCAATGTTCAGGTTGTGCTTGATGCTGTAATCAAGATTTTCAGGAAGTTCGTCGTAGAGGGATCTGATATAATTTGCTGAGAAAACGTTGATCGCAATCTTGTGCATGTTCTGCTCACCACACCCCGAAGGAAGTTGAATCAAGCTTGAAATTCCCGCCACAGCTTCTCCAAGGATATCACCAACAGCTACAACTTTCAGATCGTGTGAGCCTGGTATGAAACCATCAGGAAGTTCAACACTCATCACAGTTTTGTCCCCTGACTTACCTTTTTGCATTATCAACACACTGCTTGTATCGACTATTCTTTCACCTCCCGGTTGCACAAGAAGACTTTTTCGGACAGCATCTGAATCACCAGTACTGGTCTCTGCTGTGACAGTGATGTCGTGGTTCCCAGCCTCGGTGAGGCTTATTTCATATTCAACGGTAGCTGCTTCGTTAGAAGCTATGGTCACTGTTGCATCCTGGTCACCCCACATTTCGGAAGAGATACGGACTGTTGCTGAAACTTCATCATCTAAATAGTTGAATATTCTGACGGGAATAGTTATTCTCTCTCCAACAGTTCCAGAATATGGCAAGTCTAAACTTATGAAGAAAGGAAGGAATGTTTGGAACTCTATTTCATTAGAGAATCCCAATCCTTTTTCAGGGGACAGTCCGAAGGCACTTCCTTTCCATCCAGTGATTGTGTCAGGTGCTAATACTGAAATTACATTCTTTCCGTTTTCATCACTGACCATATCGGTCCAAAGCCAGGCCTCAGGGAAGTAGTTCCTCATCCTAGGAGAAGCATTCTCATCTTCTTCTGGAGCTGATTCATCAGCTTCTTCGGCACGATCGGCAGATGCTTCCATAATACGAGATTTCCCCTGAGGGGCATACATGTAATCTGGGCTCATGTCATCATAGTCATATCGATTGTATGGGTAAGGGTCTTCTCTGTTGTTAGAACTTGGAGCAACGTAATCAAATATGTTCATGTTTGTGGTAATTTTCAAGCCTTCACTTTTTAAAAGATCTTTAACGTCGATTATTTTTACTTCGGTGCTGGATTTGCATTGGTATGGGTCATCTCTTTGACAGCTGAGGTCTTTGGTGGTTCCGCTGTCAAGACCTCTCAAGAACGACAAAGTTGATTCCTTGGTCAATACTTTGCATGGCTCCCTCAAAAGATTCAGACTCGCATCGTTGACACTGATTCCAACGAAAGACACAGGATCACTTGTCAAATACATGGTTACGTTTTCACCAGGCCTAGCAGTTTCTGTATCTAATTGAAGATCAATTTTATGTTTCAAGTCTTCAACCATACAGAGATCCATGGCATCTGCCAAAATGTAACCAGAACGGTCATTAGCTGTTAGAACTAGCAGACGAGACCTTGTTATAATGTCATCGGGAATCATTATGGATCCCTCAGCAAATAATCTTCCCGATTCGTCATCTTGCCATTCTGGGACATCGTTCCAACTTTTAACAATGCTGCCCTTAGACAAAATAATGAAATGTAAGGTTTCGACCCTTTTGTTGGAAAGCACCTTATAAGAAGCCATATCACTGGCATTGTATGACCTTGGTTCGGTCTTGACAAAGCGAATGAATTCGTCAGCCTTTGCAACCATTCTTTCGGGTTGGTAGCAAGCAAAGACTTCATCACAAGCGGCATCAATATCCATTTCAGCTGTAATCTTCAAAGCACATGCAATTTCAGGAACATCGAATGACGCAAACACTTTTCCATCTTGGACACGAACCTCTTTCGAGACATATTTGAGATCAGAGAGGCCTGAGATCATCGTAAGCTTAACTGGCATGTTTTCAATTTCGGTTGCAGTGAGTGCCTCAACATCCAGTTCAACATAGAAGGGGAATCCAGCGGCATAGTTCTTTTGAGTATTCTTGTTGAAAGATAGCTTCATGGACGTTTGAGTGAACTCCGTTGATGAGTCTACCTTCTCGACGTTGAAGCCCTGTGAAATTGCTTATGTTGGTAATAAATTCTAGATAGTTGCGTCGACGCATCGTTTTGTATGTAAGAATGGTTTAAAATAGGAGCTTTTTAAATATTCAACTGTACTACTGCAAATTACCAAACAACGTCATGTATACATATATGAAGTTCCGATGCTTCATAATTGGTTTTCTTGAAAATATATAGTTTGATCATTAGAAGAGACAATTTTGCTACAGAAAAAGACTTACTCCTTCAGCATCAGAGACAGAAGCAGCGATAACAAGGACTGATGGACTGCAGAAAGGATTAAACAGGTATTTTAGCTTTCTTGTTGTCAAGTCAGTGATGTCGATCTGTGGAAAATGTTTTGTTTTTCTCAATAATCCCAGAATACTTACAAGAGAATAGTTTTAAAATATAAGTTCACACAAATTGGTTTTTAATAATTAATAAAACAATCGCACATTTTTGGAGGTTCAAACGTGAATAATTTTCATTATTTCTGAATGTTGAATGAGAGTCTCACCTCCCAGTCCGCTTTTCCATTAACAAGTTCAGTTGTAACTTCTTTGAAGTGATAAGCTCCTGCGTACATTTTCTGTTGTTTGTTGTCCACAGCGAACTTCAGGACTACTTTCCCGTTAACAGGTTTGCCGTATGTGTAGGTGGCGGAGACTTTACCTCGAACCATCGTGTTTCCAGACGCAATGTGTCCAGGTCCTAGAAGAAATTGTTAATTTACAAATATAAATGTTTCAATGCAGCTGATGACGTTTTATTTTGTATAAATGAAAATGAAAATTGGTTCTAAAAGGCTTAAAACAAACCTTCAATTTCTACCCCGAACTTGGGAAGAACGTATTCCTCCACAGAGAAAGAGCAGGAAGCAGAGTTCTTGCCGGTCACTCTGATTGTGTAGATTCCTATCTTTGCTTCTTCAGCTAGCAGGAATGTTCCTTGGTGGATAACTCCTTCTTCTTCGTTAGAGATCACTTCGTTGAAGACCTGGATTTGTTAGATTTATAATATAAGAATATGCATTTATTAGGAAGAGACTTTTTAATGCAGCATGAAACATTTTATACGGTATGATCGCACAAGATCCTAACCAGTGTAGCAATATAAAGTTTTGACGTGCTGTACGTTCCTAACGTAAGTTGAACTTACGTTCTGTAAGTCAGAATTTATTCTATCAAAAATACGTGCGATAAGCGATTTGCACAATTTATGTTACAGATCAGAAAGGCCAAGCAAAGGTTAGTTAACTTTTTATTGGATTTTATTGGAGTTAAAATTTAAAAAGTATAATAACACAAACCTCGACACCGCTTGGATTAGTTATTTTCACTTTGAGTCCGTCTGAGAGAGTCAGTCCCTTCAAATCAGAATCAATAGAAAATCCCCGAAACCTGCAAAGATTCGTTCAAATCAGTTTCAATCAATATTCTGTTTCAAAATCGAAGGAAAATCTATTCTTTGCATAATTTTAAAGTTAAATAATGAGATTTGATTGGATCAATTTTAACCTACCTAACAGGTTGGCCTGGTTTGTAAACAGGTTTGTCAGTCTGAACGTAGGACTTGTATCCGGTCTGCCTTACTGAGATAGATCCAGCATCAAACTCAAATCTTCCAAATCCTTCTATAAATCCGGAGTACTTGACAACGTGGGTACCAACTATCTGCTCAGGGACCTACCAAAGGAAACACTTGATTTGTTGATAAATACTATCGTTAATAGCAAGTTTTAAAACATAACTTAGATTCGTATTACGGACTATATACAGTTCGTTTAAGTTGAAGAAGGATTACTGGGCGGCGCTCAGCCTGTCATTCCGCCGAATCTCTATCAATTATCATATGTTTATGAACATTATACCCAGGGGTCCCCAGGTAAAAGAAGGACTGAATAATAATGATCTAACCTTGACTGGAATGTCAACTATTCTGTCTTCTTCGGAGATCGCGTACGTTTCCTCCATCAGCACGTTCCTGCATTGATTGTCATTCAGTTTCATTGGGATACTCCTCCATCGTCATATTTGGGGAATTTTTGAAATAAGCTTGCAACCTAAAGATGATCCTGATTTTTTACAAGAATGTTGTACGTCTTTTTAGATATATCTACTGAGTATATAGTGTATGTAATAATGGAAAAAGATATGATAAACAGGAACCTGGAACATAAACATATCCCAGGTTTAATTTAATGATTTTATTTGAAGCTAAGGGAAAATCCTAAAACTTACTCTTGGTAAAGATTTTCAGGGTAGTACTGTCGAGTGTAGTTGTAATACTTGATAGAAATATTACCAGCATTCTCTGTGAACATCATCAGCTTCAAGTTGGTCTGAAATGTGACAATATTGCATGAAGCAGCGAATACGATGTTACATAATTCATTACTAACTTTTTCATTATGCTCTCTGATTAAAGTTCGCTATAACTTCCAATAAAAATTGTGAAAATAGTCAAGTCTCACAAAAACTCACCATGTGACCAGCTTTGAAGCTTGGAGGAGAGAGGAACACGAAGGGAGGCATGCCAGTCCTCACATATTCTTCTGCTGTACCTTGTATGCTCACTGATCCAACAACGAGGCAGAGCCCAATCAGGGCTGAGAGCATTGCCATTGCTGTAGGTCGAAAATTATTACAACAACATATCATACATTATAGTAGAACGACTACATTATTCATTATGTCCATTTATTCAAATTACATCCTCTCAATAGATAAAATAAACATTTATCAAAAATACAGACAAAACAATATTCAGTATTATTATATTTATATATACATAATAATATTATATACGATATATATCAATAATATTTACAATTTATTATCGTGAAACTTCCAACCCTGGTCCAAATAAAAACCGCGTTAAAAAGGCAATTTTCCCGAAGTTTAATAGGCCCGGTATTTAAATTGGTCCGGAACATAATTGGCCGGACTAAGTAGGTCCGAAAAATAATAATGTCAGAAGAATAAAAGTGGTCCGAAATGAATAATATTAATCCCTAGGAAATTACAAACCAAATATTGCGCACAAAAATTCAATAAAATGCATTTAAATTATGTACGATCACTTGACTTTTTGGAATTTATTAATAATCTACAAGTACAAGTTTGACGTACAGAATTAAAATTCACGAATGTAAATGAAACTGGTAAATATTATTTTTCATCCACATTGCGTGATTTGCGCATGACTCAGACTGCTCAGAAAGGTTGATTTTTCAGCGATCAGTCATGTAATTATAGTTATAGCGCGATGCACTATAAGTGTATAACTACTATAATTTGTATTAAAACTGAGCTACTGGGCCGCACCACACATTAAATAGTTGTATGTTTACAACCTACCAGGACGCGCGCCGAGTTGGACTCGTCGACGGTCCTATATGGAACAGATAATGATATTTTACGAGTATCACCCGTTAAATTAAATAGTTAATAATACTTTTTAATTTTTACACCATGCAGCCATTATAATAAAGTTTAGTGTTGAGCGTTACACTACATTTAAAATTTTGTAACTTTTCTAGTTTGAGTTTTAATTTTATCAAATTCTTGGAGGTTACAAGTCCGGAATTTGACGTTTTGCTGTATTTCAAAAATATATAGAAATAAGAGTTTGCAGTAGATTGTTGAGAATAAGAGCTTGATAATTGATATTGTGTACATGACAGGCTTTCTGAGCTTAGCTGAGTCTCTGAGCTTAGCTGAGTTTGCGTGAGCGAGTAGTAGTGAATGTCAACTTCCTTGACTGCATTTTGCCTAAGTTGTAAGTGGCTTATAGTTATGAAGCGTGCTATCGGTTTCAATAATATTTTATTTAACAGTCAACGAGTCAAGCTTCACCAATGTTGACGGATGATACTCGTCTAAATTATTTACGAAGTAGCGCGCCGCTTTTTATATTGCCAGAGGCAAAGAGCTGCAATATAATAAAAGCGCGCGCTCGCGCTGCGCGCTGGGTCAGTCCATTAACAATAGACATATGTCTTATAATGTTTATATAAACATTATAAGTATAATGATTATAGGCGATTTAATAGCAAGGGTATTCTCAAGGAATTAAATTATAATAAACAGTTTGAGAAATAAACTAAAAAGGCTAAACTGGTGCTACATATATTTATAGTTATAGCAAACTTAAGCTTTTAACAAAAGCTGACAATTTTTTCGAAAAAAATTGTTATTCAATTTGATATAAAGATTAAAGGTTAAAGGAGACCTTAAACGATTTTAGGTACCACTACCAACCCACATGTATTATAGTAACCACAAGTAACCACAGGTAACCACAGGTAACCACAGGTAACCACCACAGGTAACCACAGGTAACCACAGGTAACCACCACAGGTAACCACAGGTAACCACAGGTAACCACAGGTAACCACAGGTAACCACAGGTAACCACAGGTAACCACAGGTAACCACAGGTAACCACAGGTAACCACAGGTAACCACAGGTAACCACAGGTAACCACAGGTAACCACAGGTAACCACAGGTAACCACAGGTAACCACAGGTAACCACAGGTAACCACAGGTAACCACAGGTAACCACAGGTAACCACAGGTAACCACAGGTAACCATGCAGGTAACCACAGCTGGTAACCACAGGTAACCACAGGTAACCACAGGTAACCACAGGTAACCATAGGTAACCACAGGTAACCACAGGTAACCACAGGTAACCACAGGTAACCACAGGTAACCACAGGTAACCACAGGTAACCACAGGTAACCACAGGTAACCACGGGTAACCACAGGTAACCACAGGTAACCACAAGTAACCACAGTAACCGCAGTAACCACAATTTAATAAAATCACAGTAACCTAGACCTGCAGTAATCACGGTAATCACTAATCACACAGTAGCCACAATTTATAAGCTTTCAACGCAACCCACTGTGTGCGCGATCAAAGCTGCACTGCGACCATGCCACAGTTAACTTGCTGGTCTATTAATTGCTCGCTCTCACCTGTACTGGGGACCTCAGGCTATTATATTTATATTCATAATCATAACCGAATGTTCATAATCATAACCGAATAGAGATTACTAAACGGAATGACAGGCTGAGCGCGGCCCAGTAACATTGGGATCAATTAATACTAGTACTACCCATTGTAGCGCGATGCACTACTGGGTCGCGCGCGCGCATCCAATAATGCTTCTCGGTAGATCGGCGAGATGCACCACTGTGCCTCACCGAGCTGCGAAGGATTGACATCGTGAATCAATACTACCCAGTACTTGTTGTATTTGATTTACGCCGCCTTCGGCGGCGCGCGCTTCGCGCGCGAAAAGTGGCATGCAACGTATGTCAAGATCTACGATGTCAATCTTTCGCAGCTGGGCAAGGCCCAGTGGTGCATTTTGCCGATCTAGCCGTGGTTGCAAAAAGAATTATTTAATGCGCGGCACGGCCTAGTGATGCATCGCGCTACAATTATTGTATTATATATATTAATATATCATAAAGAGGTCTAAAAATAACAAAATAGGTATAAATTCGTTGATAACTCAATTTCTGACCATCGAAATTGCTCAAACTATTTAACTTTAAGGTTCATTAAAACATAAATGTTTACGTAAGCTGACCAAATTTCAACAAAATTGTTGTATGAGGAGTACAGTATTATAACATTTTGATTGTTTCCGAAATAATGTGCTGGCCGAAATACGAGCTAAAAAGCATTCGATGGTCAGCGCGCGCGTCTTACGGTCGATGGTGCACGTCCTAATAGTAATATAAAGTTTACCGTTTAACGGTAACAGATGCACGGTTTTAATTGTTATGTAATGTTCATTGAACCGCACAAAAGAAAGTTGAGTGCTGAGAAATAGTTTCGGACGAATATTTTTAAAAACACTAAACTAATCGTTGACAGTGTCTTCGTTATAAGTATAACAACACATCGAATCTGCGAGTGTTTTATTTTTTCTCACTCTATTATAGAAACTATAAATTAGTAACATGTAACAAAATATTTTTAGTCGTTACTTTTTTGCATATTTTGCATATTTCTTAATAACAATAAAAAAGCTTTTGATAACTGCTAAATTTTCAGAAACTACTACCGTTGAAAAATTAATATCAATAGACAATAACTATAAGCAAACGGGTAGATAAATTATGACGATAATTTAAAATGAATTAAAAACTTAAAATATATAAAAAGTTTCAATGAGGCAGGTTATGAAGTAACTTGCTAAAACATTACAATTGAATGAAGGAGGTAATCCCTCCCGGCTTACGTTAATATTATTTATAACTAGTTCCATCAACGGAGTAGAAAATGGTCTGCCTTTTAGAGGGATTGTAGTAATCTATCAGAGATACTTGTACTGGCATTCTGTTGGTTACGTCGAACTTTATGTCCATGGGGATGTTGAATTCGATTTCTTTAAGCTTTGTGGCAGGATCCACGTAGAGATGAAGCCGTTGTCCACCTTCCTTGATGTCGTATCTTGTAATAGCAGAGAATCCACCGTCGGTCAACTGAAGTTGTCCCTCAACAAGAGACTTTGTGAAGACCATGCCAGTAGGCGAAGCTACCTCCAGCAAATACATTGTCGAGTTGGACTCCTCAGGCAATGTAAATCCTATGCTGACAGCTGGAAGCCCTTCGTATACAGCAGATGAAGCCTGCAACATGAATATAGGTTCATAGTTTCTACCTGTGACATGGTATTCAGATATCATTTGTACGAACGCAACACCTACTCCACTCCATTTGATCTTGTACTTGCCAACTTTTGGTCGTAGATCCAACTGTTTGACGGTCATTTTGCTATCCTCCTTTATCCGTATTTTTCCAATCTTTGACTTGCCTTTTGAGATCACTATGGTTAGATCAGTTCGTTTAGTCATTTTAGCATTGCTTAATTCAGCAAACCTAGCGAGAGCTTGCAGTCCAATGACAGTGTCTTGACTTGATCGGAATCCTCCATTCTCATTCCTTTGACTGGCAAGCCACATTATCATTGGGAGACTGTCTTCAATTCTGTCTCTCTGCATGAAATACAATGCTGCATAGCCAGTAGCTTCGATAGACTTACTTGATCCCATAAAGGATTCAAATTCAAGATTATCTTCACAAGTAGCAAACTTAAACTTTCCATCAGTAGAGGATCCCATACACTTTGCATCTTCTCTGAAAGGCAGTTTTTTCCAGCTTTCGACATGATCAAGAAGTCCATGCTCTTTGCAGAGTTGGATGGAATAAGCTACCATATGATGATAACAGCAATCATCTGATTGAGAAGCTAATTCGAAGGTAGAGTTGCAAACTTTTCCTAGTCTATCAGAGTTATAAGAAGAATCAGTCAGGGTGCTTCCACATCGGCTCACTCCGTTGCTCTCCAGCATAGAAATGAGGAAGTAAGATTGCCAGTAAAGGTCCCTATTTTGATGATAAATGTATTGATAAGGAGCCCATCCTTCTCTGTTTACTCCCATTGTTTTTTTGTTATCTTTTTTGACTTGTTGCAATTGTCGCATAAGATAGTCCCTATCACTATTAAGCCCTGAATCACATAAAACAGGTACGTCTTTCGGGAATAAAGCGACTATCTTATGAACAAAAGTAGTCAACCAGTCACTAGAATCACCCCCTTTAAACACTGAATACCCATAACTGTAGCCAGTGGAACCCTTTCTGTAAGCAAACTGCTGCTGCAACCCAATATTCAGGTTATGCTTGATGTTGTAATTTATGTTTTCAGGAAGTTCCTTGTACAGGGATCTGATATAGTTTGCCGAGAAGACGTTTATTGCAATCTTGTGCATGTTCTGCTCACCACACCCCGAAGGAAGTTGAATCAAGCTTGAAATTCCCGCCACAGCTTCTCCAAGGATGTCTCCAACAGCTACAACTTTCAGATCGTGCGAGCCAGGTATGAAACCATCAGGAAGTTCAACACTCATATCAGCTTTGTCCCCTGACTTACCTTTTTGCATTATTAGAACACTGCTTGTATCGATAACTTTTTCACCTCCTGGTTGAACGAGAAGGCTTTTTCGAACAGAGTCTGACTCACCAGATCTGGTATCCGCTGTGACAGTGATGTCGTGATTCCCAGCCTCGGTGAGGCTTATTTCATACTCAACGGTACTTGCTTTGTTAGAGGCTATGGTCACTGTTGCATCCTGGTCACCCCACATTTCAGAAGAGATTCGGACTGTTGCTGAAACTTCATCATCTAAATAGTTGAATATACTGACAGGAATAGTTATTCTCTCTCCAACAGTTCCAGAATATGGCAAGTCTAAACTTATAAAGAAAGGGAGGAATGTTTGAAACTCTATTTCATTAGAGAATCCCAATCCTTTTTCAGGGGACAGTCCGAAGGCACTTCCTTTCCATCCTGTGATTGTATCAGGAGCTATCGCTGAAATGATGTTCTTTCCGTTTTCATCACTGACCATATCAGTCCAAAGCCAGGTCTCAGGGAAATAGTTCCTTAATCCCGCAGATTCTTCTTCCTTTGGTTCCTCGACCACTTCTTCAGATTCCTCTGACGTCGGCATCATCATTTTCATGTCGTCCGCCATAGGATAAGAGGTTGACGGTACATACATATCCATAGAAGTTTGTGTACTAGTACGACTACGTCCTTTATCGTACCTGATTGGATATGGTTTTACGTTATTTTGGAAACCATAATCGAACAAATTCATGTTTGTGGAAACTTCAAGACCTTCACTTTCGAAGAGATCCCTTAAATCGATTATTTTCACCTCAGTACTAGATTTACATTGGAAAGGATCGTCCCTCTTACAGGTCAAGTCTTTGGTGGTTCCGCTGTCGAGGTCTCTTAAGAAGGACATTGTTGATTCCTTGGTCAGTACTTTGCATGGTGCCCGCAGAAGGTTTAAGCTCGCATCGATGACACTGACTCCAACAAATGAAGAAGGATCACTTGTCAAATACATGGTCACATTTTCACCAGGCTTAACAATTTTAGCGTCCAATTGAAGCCTCACCTTGTGTCCCAAGTCTTCAGCAATGTCGAGATCTATGGCATCGGCAAGGATGTATCCAGAATTGGCGTTTGCTGTCATAACAAACAGACGTGATCTGGTTATCACTTTTGATGGTATCATTATGGATCCATCTACAAACAATTTCCCTGACTCGTGACTCTCCCATTCTGGGACATCGTTCCAACTTTTAACAATGCTTCCCTTAGACAAAATAATGAAATGTAAGGTTTCGACCCTTTTGTTGGAAAGCACCTTGTAAGAAGCCATATCACCAGTTTTGTACGACCTTGGTTCGGTCTTGACTAAGCGTATGAATTCATCAGCCTTTGCAACCATTCTTTCGGGTTGGTAGCAAGCAAAGATTTCATCACAAGCGGCATCAATATCCATTTCAGCTGTTATCTTCAAAGCACATGCATCTTCAGGAACATCGAAGGATGCAAAGGCTTTTCCGTTTTGAACACGGACTTCTTGTGTTACATATTTCGGATCGGAAATACCTGAAATCATTGTTAATTTTACAGTCAAGTCCTCAGTGTTCGACGCTTTATTAAAATTTTTAACGTCTAGTTCGACATAGAAAGGGAAGCCAGCAGCGTAGTTCTTCTGTGTGTTCTCGTTATAGGTCACCTTTACAGAGGTCTGACTGAACTCCGTTGATGAGTCCACTTTCTCAATGTTGAAACCCTGTTGGATGGACGCCTTGGTCAGCTGTCTTTAACTCATGCAGCTACTTCATTTGTCTTTAACTCATGCAGCGAGACATGCAAGTCGTGCAAATGCAGCGTTACAGCAGGATGGTTCGTGACGCATTAGGGCTTTGTAAGTTTTGTTTTAATTAAATTGTTAAAGAGGTATTGTATCCATTCGGCATTCCTTGCACATGTGTTTTAAGGTGATATGATAGTGTGTATTACTGTATAAAAGGGGAAATATAATTTATATAGTGCTTGATTGTTATGTGAATAGCTTCGCTGATTGTACAAGTGGATGAGATTTAAAAAAGTAAACAGCAGTTCAAACCTCAGAAGGGACGAAGACCAATAATTGTCAGGAACAACAACTTGGAGAAACATGCTTTCATCAGATGTTAGCAGGTGTTTTTAGAAGATTTAGACAAGACTAAATTCAAAATTCAAAAATGCACTCATGCTCATAATGATCAGTTTCTAATATTAATTATTAGCTGATCGCATTAATCAACCAAGTTACTGACTTGAAAAACTTACCCCTTCAGCATCAGACACAGAAGCAGTGATAACAAGGACAGATGGACTGCAGAAAGGATTAAACAGGTATTTTAGCTTTCTTGTCGTCAAATCTGTAATGTCGATCTGCAAATAAATGTTATTGTATTGCAAGTGAATTTGATTGAATGAGAAAAATTAAATTCATTCACTTCCTCAATGATAAATAATACTAAAAATCAAGTTTTATACCTCCCAGTCTGCGATTCCATCAACAAGTTCAGTTGTAACTTCTTTGAAGTGATAAGCTCCTGCGTACATTTTCTGTTGTTTGTTGTCCACAGCGAACTTCAGGACTACTTTCCCGTTAACAGGTTTGCCGTATGTGTAGGTGGCGGAGACTTTACCTCGAACCATCGTGTCTCCAGACGCAATATGTTTTGGTCCTGAAACGAATTTTTCAATTCACTTCTTTTGCTTTATTTGAAAAATAAAAAATCTTGCAATCTATGTTGCAGCGATTGTATTTTTATACTCACATCTATAATAAAAGTTGTCGTGAAGAAACTTTTTGACTGCTGGAATTAAAATCTAATCCATTCAATGTAGCTGATGACGTTGTATTTTTGGACAGATTGCTTCGACAAATTCAAACAAACCTTCAATTTCTACCCCGAACTTGGGAAGAACGTATTCCTCCACAGAGAAAGAGCAGGAAGCAGAATTCTTGCCGGTCACTCTGATTGTGTAGATTCCTGTCTTTGCTTCTTCAGCTAGCAGGAATGTCCCCTTGGTGGATTACTCCTTCTTCTTCGTTTAAGATCACTTCATTGAAAACCTGAACACAAAAGTAATGAATGTTTAATGTTTACTTAAAATGTTTACTTATAAATAAGACAGCGATATCTTTTGTATATTCTTTACCAAACTTATGTTATTTAACAATAAGGAATCCGACTTCCTGAGAAGACTCATAATTTGACAACTGTTATTGACTCTCATCGAATGATATTAAGATTTGAGTCTGATTGTTTCTGAATTCTCAGCAACAAAACATTAGGAGTGTATCGTTCATTTTGCATAATAAATTTTCAAATTACCAACTCAATATGACGCGATATATTACCTCGATGCTATCAGGATTTGAGATCGTCACTTTCAATCCATCTTCAGAAAGTACTACACCTTTCAAATCAGAGTCGATGGAGAAGCCGCGGAATCTGACAAAGGTAAATAAACAGTGAAGCAGAAATACGGCTTGCTCCCAGTACATTTAGTAAGATAGTAAATTAGTAAATAAGTCAATTGAGAAAATGCAAATGATCGGATAGTTTTGATATTGAAAAACTTAACCTACCTGACAGGTTGGCCTGGTTTGTAAACAGGTTTGTCAGTCTGAACATAGGACTTATATCCGGTCTGGCTTACTGAGATAGATCCAGCATCAAACTCGAATCTTCCATATCCTTCAATAAATCCGGAGTATTTGATGTACTGTGTACCTTGACTGACTTCTGTGACCTAACAGAATTTTAACTATGTAAGAAACTCGTTTGTAACCTTATATACTATCAAAATCTCTTCATTTAAGATTTAAGAAGAGAGAAACGCCATCGCAAAGAGAATTAGGAAAATTAGGAGAATTAGGAGAATTAGGAGAATTAGGAGAATTAGGAGAATTAGGAAAATTAGGAGAATTAGGAAAATTAGGAACATTAGGAGAATTAGGAGAATTAGGAGAATTGGGAGAATTAGGAGAATTAGGAGAATTAGGAGAATTAGGAGAATTAGGACTCATCGGACTACACGACATGCCAGTAAACATCAAAGGTGCGACTTTAATAATAATAACCAATGCGATTTAGCGTTGAGAAAATAAACTCAACTTAGCATTACTCTTGTGTTTTTGTAAGCTTATCTTCTAACCTGAACTGGAATGTCGATTATCTTATCCTCCGCAGATATCTGGAATGTCTCCTCCATCAACACGTTTCTGGGGTTGTTATCAATCAAACATCAAGCACACCTTTTCAAATAGACGCCACTCCATCATATATTATAATCACCTCTTTGCCCCATCAATGCCCGTGCTACTGCAATATTTCGTGTCACTTCAGATCAGACTAAAACAAAATAAGATTTGCATTTTTTTCGCAGTCAAAATTAGTCAAAATTAGTCGTTGTACCCCCTCATTGATAAATTAGCTTAATCGGATATCTATCATTGTACTGTCGCATATTATCTATCAATAAGCTAACATTCTAACAAACTCAGTAAGTAAGTGACTTAACTCACTCCACATAGCGACCATCAGATTCATATGGTTCTGAATAGTTGGTGTACTTCAAATAGTATTTGATAGAGATGTTGCCTGAATTTTCAGTGAACATCATCAGTTTCAGGCTCGTCTGAAATAGGTTTTATGACAGTGCTACCACTATAGTACTATAACTACTACAGCAAAAAATCACGGTATCTGACAGAAATAACTTACGAGTAGGTCTTTATAACACTAACCGTGTTTCTGATTAAGATTTCTGATAATTCCAAGGAAATATGCTCTTTTCAGGTATATGATGTAGTTACATTAATTGTTGAACAGTTTCCTTTACCTGGAAAGACCATTTTCCCGTGGTCGCATAAACGGAATTATCAAAAATTGTTATCAGAAACATCACAACAATACGACTCATAAACAATGTTCCTATCCGGATACAACACTAACCGTGTGTCCAGCTCTAAACGCAGGAGGTGAAAGGAATACAAAGGGAGGCATCCCATTGGTTACCCCTTCTTCGTGGTCATCTGATCTTACTATGTTGCAAAATGCCAGTCCTATGAGCAGTAGGACCAACTTCATTGCTAAAATGGTATGTTATTATTATGTGCATACAATTTTATTATTATATGCATATTGCATAAAAACATATAGTTTTAGCTGTGGTCGATCAAGTATTAGTTAACTGACAATAACCATTGTATTAGCAATGTAACAAAATCTTCTTCTTGAAAGGTAAATAAAACCAGGACCCGTTTTAAAATTCAAGGAAGGGTTGGTTATAAGCTGAACAGAAGAAAAATGTGAGAAAATAATATTTTTTACAATTCAACATAGTTATACACAATACAGAGTAAGATTATAAAGTTAAAGAATGAAATAATCTATGCTAAAACAAACAAAAACCCTAAAATGTTATGATATAGAGGCAAACAACGAGAAAATATAGCAAGCATCTTTATCAGCCTGCAACCTTGTTCAGCTCATCGTGCCTGATCACATGAGTTAATAACCGAGAAGCACTCGGCTATCTTCGGTAAAGCGAGCTCATAAGAAGTCATCCCAGTGATTTCCATCCGCCCATCAGCACTGTAACGGAGAAGGAAGAAACTCTTGGTGTTTCTAAGCGACGGGACACACAACCCGTCAGGAGAACTCGCAAACCTCGCATCTACACTCATATTATGGACAGTGCTTCCCTTGCATTCTTTGTAAGGGAAGGCATTCTTGATCTGGAGAACGTCTCCAGAACTCTCACCAGGATAACCTAAGACAATGGCTTCTGCGCTCTCCAGGAGGTCACAGGATAAAGCCAGAGAGCATCCAATATTCGTCATAGCATCAACACCTGCATCGGACTCATCAAAAGAGTAAAAGATGGTCTGCCTTTTAGAGGGATTGTAGTAATCTATCAAAGATACTTGTACTGGCATTCTGTTGGTTACCTCGAACTTAGTGTCCATGGGGATTGAAAGATCGATTTCTCTAAGCTTTGTGGCAGGATCCACGTAGAGATGAAGCCGTTGTCCTCCTTCCTTAATGTCGTATCTTGTAATAGCAGAGAATCCACCGTCGGTCAACTGAAGTTGTCCCTCAACAAGAGACTTTGTGAAGACCATGCCAGTAGGTGAAGCTACCTCCAGTAGATACATTGTGGAACTTGATTCCTCAGGAAGTCTAAAAGCTACTTTGATGGTTGGGAGGCCGTCATAAGTTGCAGCTGCAGCTTCCAGCATATACAGAGGGCTGTAGTATTTGCTAGAGACGTGAATTTCGGATATCATCTGAACAAATGCAGTTCCAACTCCAGTCCACTTAACTTTGTATTCTCCAAACTCTGGAGCCACCATTATTTCTTTGGTTGACATCTTTTTTTCTTCTTTGATTCGAACCTTTTCGAAGTATGACCCACCTTTCCCGAGGAAAATTGTGAGATCAGTTCGTTTAGGCATATCTGCATTACTTACCTCCGCAAACTTAGCAAGAGCCTGCAGTCCAATGACAGTGTCTTGGCTGGATCGGAATCCTCCGTTCTCATTTCTTTGACTGGCAAGCCACATGATCATTGGAAGACTGTCTTCAATTCTATCTTTCTGCATGAAATACAATGCTGCATAACCAGTAGCTTCAATAGACTTACTTGACCCCATGAAGGATTCAAATTCAAGATTCTCTTCACATGTAGCAAACTTATACCTCCCATCAGTTGAAGAGCCCATACACTTCTCATCATCGCTGGAAGATAAACGGGACACTTGGTCAAGAAGGCCATGGTCTTTGCAGAGTTGAACGGAGTAAGCTACCATGTGATGATAGCAGCAATCATCTGATCGAGCAGATAGGTCAAGGATGGAGTTGCAAACTTTTCCTAGTCTATCAGAGTTATAAGAAGAATCAGTCAGGGTGCTTCCACATCGGCTCACTCCGTTGCTCTCCAGCATAGAAATGAGGAAGTAAGATTGCCAGTAAAGGTCCTTGTTTTGATGATAGTTGTATTGGTAAGGAGCCCAACCGTCTCTGGCAACAGCAGTGCTTGACTTGTACCCTTTTTCTAGTTCAATCAGTCGAGTGAGATAGTCTCTGTCACTGTCCAGGGCACTGTTACACGGAACAAACACTTGTTCGGGGAACAGTGAAACTATCTTGTAGACGAATGCTGTTAGCCAGTCACTGGAGGGGCCACCTTTAAATATGGAATACCCGTTACTGAAGCCAGTTGTTCCTCTTCTGTAGGCCAGTTGTTGCTGCAGTCCGATGTTCAGGTTGTGCTTGATGCTGTAATCAAGATTTTCAGGAAGTTCGTCGTACAGGGATTTGATATAGTTTGCTGAGAAAACGTTGATCGCAATCTTGTGCATGTTCTGCTCACCACACCCCGAAGGAAGTTGAATCAAGCTAGAAATTCCCGCGATAGCTTCGCCGAGGATGTCCCCAACTACTACAAATTTTAGACGGTGAGATCCTGGAATGAATCCGTCCGGTAACCTTACTGTCATCACTGTTTTTCCTACCGACTTATCTTTCTGCATTATCAATAAACTGCTTGTATCAATAATTTTTTCACCACCTGGCTGAACGAATAGGCTCTTTTGGACAGCGTCTGACTCACCAGTACTGGTCTCGGCTGTGACTGTGATGTCGTGACTCCCAGCCTCGGTGAGGCTTATTTCATATTCAACGGTACTAGCTTTTTTAGAAGCTATGGTCGCTGTTGCATCCTGGTCACCCCACATTTCGGAAGAGATTCGGACTGTTGCTGAAACTTCATCATCTAAATAGTTGAATATTCTGACGGGAATAGTTATTCTCTCTCCAACAGTTCCAGAATATGGCAAGTCTAAACTTATAAAGAAAGGAAGGAATGTTTGGAACTCTATTTCATTAGAGAATCCCAATCCTTTTTCAGGGGACAATCCGAAGGCACTTCCTTTCCATCCTGTGATTGTGTCAGGAGCTATCGCTGAAATGATGTTCTTTCCGTTTTCATCACTGACCATATCGGTCCAAAGCCAGGTCTCAGGGAAATTGTTTCGTATTTTTAAAGTGTCTTCTTCGGTTTCCTCATCCTCAGGAGCTGAATCAAACTCTTCTAATCGGTTACTGGCCTTGGCTTTCTTGTTTGCTCCCCCTCTACCAGACGATCCTGAAAATTCACGTTCAGAATACATCAGCATATCATCGTCTCTAACTTCTTCTGCAGCATCATAATCGTGAAACATCATGTTTGTAGTTAGTTGCAAGCCTTCGCTGTCGAGGAGCCCTTTAATGTCAATAGTTTTAACTTCAGTATTTGACTTGCACTGGTAGGGGTCGTTTCTCTCACAGCTGAAGTCTTTATGAGTTCCACCGTCCAGCTCTCTCACGAAAGAAAGGGTTGATTCCTTGGTCAGGACTTTGCATGGCTTCTTAATGAGCTCCAAGCTAACATCATTTACACTGACGCCAACAAAAGAATTTGGGTCACTAGTTAGGAACATAGTTACATTTTCACCCGGTTTAGCGGACCTAGTATCCATCCGCAGAGAAAGTTTGTGATTTAGGTCCTCCACAATAGACAGGTCTATAGCACTCGCTACAATGTAACCTGATACATTGTCAGCAGCCAGTACCAACAGACGAGATCTAGTAATCATATCTGATGGTATTGTCATTGAACCCTCATTGTAAAACTTCCCGGACTCGTCTTCTTCCCATTCCGGAACTGTGCCCCAACTTTTCACCATGTTTCCTTTAGATAGAATAACTAATAGAAGACTTTCTACTCTCTTGCTGGAGAGTAACTTGTAAGAAGCAGTTCCACCTGCTCTATAAGAATCGGGTTCAGTCTTTACCAGCCGAATAAACTCTTTAGTCTTTGAAACCAGCCTCTCAGGTTGGAAGCAAGCAAACACTGTATCACAAGCATCTCTCACCTCCATCTCAGCTGTTATCTTCAGAGCACACGCATTCTCAGGCACATCAAATGAAGCGTACACTTTCCTATTTTGAACAAGAACATTCTTATAAACATACTTGAGCTCAGTAAGTCCTGATATCATTGTGAGCTTGACCGGCATGTTTTCTATATTAGTCACAGTAAGAGCCTCAACATCCAGTTCAACATAGAAGGGGAAGCCAGCTATATAATTCTTTTGCGTGTTTTCGTTGAAAGACAGTCTAACTGAAGTTTGACTGAACTTGGTCGAAGAGTCCACTTTCTCAATGTTGAAACCCTGGGTTGCTATAGTTACAAACCAGTTACCATGGTTACTATAGTTACTATAGTTACTATAATAGTAAACCATGCATCGTTAGTCAATTTAAAAATCAATAAAAGGGAGCACGGAGGAATTATGATAACATCAACAACGAAACTATAGCTATTATATTTACGCAGTTGATAGAAAATATTGCCTTCCTTATTTTGTAAAATCTCTTATTTTGTAAAATCTCTGACAAGCTCATATTAGTAACCTAGATAAAAATAAAAATGAATAATACTCATTACTCACCCCTACAGCATCAGAAACAGAAGCAGCAATCACAAGAACAGAAGGGCTACAGAAAGGGTTGAACAGGTATTTAAGTCGCTTTGTCACCAGCTCAGTTACATCGATCTGTAAGAAATCTCTTTAGAGGTAATTAAAGGTTATCAAAGGTAGTTAGAAGAAATCGTGCGAATTAAAAACTGAACAAATTGGCCTGGTTTACAAATTTAAAAGTTTGGAGATTAGTATTATTTACTTGGGAGATTAATATAAGATTGAGATCATCATTATTCAATCAAGAGATTACGATAAGATTGAGAATAGCGTGGAAAGGCAAACCCTTCTTAAGTGACTGAATGTTTATTTGTTTGTTAAAAACGGGTGAAATTTTCCTCATCTCAGTTTGGTTACAATATCAGTTTAAAAGACAAAATTCGATAATGTGTATTTTTAGGACAAAATCATTATCTCCAACGGTTAATCATACTTTGGTCACCAAAGTTTGTTGTACCGAATTTTCACCTATAGATCATTTGATTTTATCTTAAACATAGATTCATTAAGTTGAGACGATTTGTTTAGAGATAAAGCGTCCCTACTCCCTATTTTATGCCAGACTAAAAATCAGATACGCCAAATTTAATAACTCTTTAGATGAATACAATTATGTAGGCCGAATCATATTCATAATCTCTTTACTTATAGAATGGTACTATACAGTACCTGATATAAGGGGACACACATTAAATTCCAGCTGCCTCTCTTCCCCCCCCCCCCCCCCCACCTCCGTAATTTCCACGAAAGTAAAATTTCTTACCTCCCACAGAGCACTGCCATCCACTAACTCCATAGTAATCTCCTTAAAGTGATAAGCTCCTGCGTACATTTTCTGTTGTTTGTTGTCAACAGCGAACTTCAGGACTACTTTCCCGTTAACAGGTTTGCCGTATGTATAGGTGGCGGAGACTTTACCTCGAACCATCGTGTCTCCAGACGCGATGTGTCCTGGTCCTGGACGAAGAAAATTGTTGGAAACTTGAAATGTGAATGTGTTCTATTAGTGACAAAAGAAACGCCATTGTCGGACGTGAGGAGAGTGAGGACTCCTCAAACTAAATTAAATTAATTCCTTCTGTAACATCCTGAATAAATATAGTTACGAAAACAAAATTTACTAAACATTTTAAAACATTACTGAACACAAAACAATATTACTTATGATATAACATTAACTTATATCCAGAATAGTGATTAATCGTATTTGAGAGATAAATTAATGATAGACTTGAATGATTTATATTTTATACTGATTGAATAACTTGTACAATTAGACTTTTAACGAATGCTACCACTATAAGTGACGAGACTAAGCATATACGGTATAATAAATCTGGATCTAGTTTGCTAGCCTACTGCTCGATTCTTTCACGGATATGCAAGAAGTGGAACTGTAAAGAGCGCCGCGCAGAGGGAATAACATGCCAGGTAACCTGTGAATTAGAAATATCCAAACAAACCTTCAATTTCTACCCCGAACTTGGGGAGAACGTATTCCTCCACATAGAAAGAGCAGGAAGCAGAGTTCTTGCCGGTCACTCTGATTGTGTAGATTCCTATCTTTGCTTCTTCAGCTAGCAAGAATGTTCCTTGGTGGATAACTCCTTCTTCGTTTGAAATCACCTCTTCAAAAAGCTGAAAAAGGTAATTTTTTGAAACTTAATATTTTGATGACTTACTATTTGAAGCTCGGTCAAAATAGCCAGAAATGTCTCCCTCTCATGACGCACAGCATTTACACTTCAAGCATGTTTCATTACATATACTATAAAGACATACTATGTAATGAAATACTAGAACTTACAACTACACCATCAGGGTTAGTGATCTCAACTTTCAATCCGTCAGATAGCTTTACACCTTGTAAATAGGAATCCACAGAAAATCCTCGAAACCTGTGAAATTATCAGTATTATTCTCTCTTTTCGGAAAATACCTGCTGACTATGACGAGGAAGCGATGTAACAGTCGATAGGTTTTAATGTTGCCATGATGTGGCAAGTCCCCATTCATCGCAGTCCGATATAATAGTTTTACTGTCTCTCAATATGGCAGGTCACTACAAATGCCAGTACCAACTAACCTGACAGGTTGGCCTGGTTTGTAGACAGGTTTGTCAGTCTGAACGTAGGACTTGTACCCGGTGTCTCTGACTGGTAGGGATGACCCTTTGTAAAAGAAGGAACCAAACTCCTCCACATGTCCGGAATATTCTATCACGTGATTACCCACCAGAGTCTCCGGTACCTGAATATCAACGTTATCTATAATATAAAGCTGTGAAGTGTCATTGTTAGGGTTAGAGTCAGAACTCAGAATTTCCTAAAATTATGAATTTAGGTTTTGAGTGCTGATAAGGCCTGCCACTAATTGTAGATAACATTAGCTAGAGATAATAGTAGTTAGAGACGATAATCATGGTTAGAGATAATAGTAATTAGAGATAATAATGATTACTGGTTAGAGATAATAGTAGTTAGAGTCTAGAGATAATAATGGTTATTGGTTAGAGATAACCTTGAGTAGGAGCCAGCCAGGGCTTTATCCATTCAGCCAGGTGTTTCTTTATTTCCGATAACAACAAGCCAAATAAAACGTACGGCTAATTAGTGTTTTCAAACGGAAAGGTCAAAGTTTATCTCAAACTGAATTACAACCTCCTAATATTACATATCTGGCCCCCTATCATAATTACTAAATACAGACCAGACCAACCAGTGTACGGTACTAAGGTCATGTGACAGGCGTGGATCAATATGAGTTGTAGGTCACCAGAACCGAGTTCTAGACTAATTAAACACTCAAGGTTCTACAAAAACAAGAAATAAGAGCGAGGAACTAGCCCTTCTTGACAACTTTGTGATTAAATGCAGAATATTGGGCACAGCTTTTTAGTGCAGCTTTGCCGTATAAAGGTAATATAATATACTAATGAAATGAGAGGATGAAAACCCCTGTTGAAAATTCTACCACATAAGCACATAACAAAAGTGAATTAGGATTTCTAGAAAGATACCATGATTAATGATTAACTAGGTTGCAAGTCATACCTCTATGGGGAGAGCAATGATTCTGTGATCTTCGTTTACCTCGTACGTCTCTTCCATCAGAACAGTCCTGATAAAGTCGCATATATTTATTATGTTGCATAATAAATAATATAAGTCCTTGGTGTAAAATTATATTTGTTTATCATGTAAAATGAATATTTCCTCTTGATAAATTATACAGAGTAAGCAAATATAAAATTTAGTATCTACTGAAGCTGAAAGTGAAAACTTACTCTCGGTAAATATTTTCAGGGTAGTACTGTCGAGTGTAGTTGTAATACTTGATAGAGATATTACCAGAATTCTCCGTGAACAACATCAACTTCATATTTGTCTGAAAAATAAACAGTATAACAAATTATTCTTCGCCACATTTGCCGTTTTCTGACAAATGAACATTGAACATTTTTGAGATTTTAATTTTGTATTCTTTTATCCAAATTTATTTATTATGTCAAAAACTACATCTGTAACTATCAGAAACCATCAGAATCTACCAGAGATCTTCTTTATGGACCCCGACAATGTCGAAATTGAACAAAAATGTGACAAAATGCTTTGAAAAATCTGATTTCGAAGTGGAATTAAGGACAGCAAACATTGTAACATTTCACAGGCAGAATTCCGTGTACGATATTAAATTACCTTATTCAAGGTGATTTAGTTTAGCAGCTATTTTAGCACTTAATTTATAAATTTAGTCCTTACAGACTTTATTTGAACGGACATTCATAGGACGTTGAAAGCCCTACCGTTCATTTTAATGTCCGTTCAAATAAAGCCCGTCCGTCTAAGTCAAAGTCCGTTCAAAGTTTTTCCCAAAAGTATTCCGCTACGAACTTATTGTCCAGAATATGACTACTTTTTATTTTCGGTCAATTTCAATTTCTATTAGTCTATCATTGGACTAAACTATATCAACATTTTCACTGCTTAACCGCTGCTTTTCTTGATTACTATATTAAAAATCAATGCTAAAATTGGGAAAAAAACGCCAAAAAAGATGAAAACATTCCGGATTTTAAATAGTTTTGAATGCTTTTGAGCGTTCATTTTAGTATTCGTCCAAAATTATATTCGTTCACGCAATATCCGGTCATAGAATCTCCGATAAGTTATTGCATTGACTATGCATAAATATCTTCCAAATTGGAGAGCAAAACAATTACAATTACACAATTTCAAAATATCCATGCCTGTATTAGTTCAAATTTGTTTACCAAATTTGTTCGTTTTTAACTACATAAGTTTATTTTTCCAAAATCTTAAAGATAAGTTGCTGCTGATAGGGACGCGAACCCAAAACTGTTAATAATAATACCCAAAACTACAAATAAGGTGTGTCGAACTGATTTCTTACGTGATTTCGTCAACCTTTTTCCCAGACGTATTAAAATACAGCATTATTTTTTAATGAGAAAAGCACAGGTGGTCCGGATAATTTATTGGCTTTTCGACAAATAAAATAAAAAACCGACCAGACTGTTCGGAAAAGGGTTTATTTCATACTCAAAAAGATAAATACAATTTTTTAATTTCTAATTTCTAATTTCTACTCACAGTGTGGCCGGCTCTAAAATACTGAGGAACGATCAACATAAAAGGAGGCATCCCGTTTGTCATTTCATCAGCACTTCTGCCCAGACCAGCCAAGCTGCAGAGGACAACAAGTACAACAATTTGCACCATACCTGAAGGTAAGATGAAAAATACAGTCATTTGGAATAAAGTTCATGCATCCACCCGTCACCCGTGTACAAAAGTAAAGGCAGATACTTAGAAAATGTTGGGAAAAACACATAAATAAGCTACGGTCGATAAGCTATGATAAATAAGCATTGATATTTATCTGTATGACCCTATGAGATAAGAAAACGTGGATACAAATTGTACATTTTTACTGACACAAATCAACTATTATTATAGCAACATGAATTAAACAATTCTTGTACGATAAACGTTAATAGTTTTAGAATTTACCGTGTTTGAAGAGTTTTTTCCCTGCATAGCGCCCCCCGGAGTCAGTGTCAGGCTATGTGAACTAGGGACGTTAGTTACCATAGTTACTAGGGACCAGCACTGATCTGTCGAAGAAGAGTTGGGAACAAACAGTCGGAATACATATATTTATATTAGTGCACTAACAACCAGCAGGACAAACAATCTGCCGGCGTGATGTAAGCTGTCATATCTGCTGTTCAGATTTCAACTGACTTGCGAGATAGGGGGGGATAGAAGTGACAGGGGCTCGGTCAGATAAAACAGGGGGTGGGGAGTGGAATTTGTTTTTAGTGAGCTCAAATTGGTAAACAGGTAAAGATAAGGAGAGGGGCAGGAGTCCGCCTCCTACGGAAACATTAGCTGGTAAATTAATTAATTCCTGCACAGGCGGAATTCTTCAAAAAACACGACCTGTTTTAAATGAAATTCGAATCCTGGTGTGGGAAAGGCAGGCTAATCAGAAAACAAACGCTCTGAAGTTATGCAGAAGGTTCACTGCACTAGGCAGTTCAGGGCTCTGGTATGACTCCACCACATTACTCCTTATTAAACCTCTGCTAAAACTTGATAAACATCTCTTCTCTCCGGCTGCTGAAGACGCTTATCACTTTATTGAACGGTAATCTTGTTAACTCCCTTCAGACCAGAGGAAATTAAAAATTGAATTTTGAGCCATGAGTTCACAACAACATTAACCTGACCTTGCGTTGGTGTGGCTCAGTTAGAAACTCTCAGAAAGTGAGCAAGGGAAAGCCAGCTGATAGCTCAAGGAATAATTTATAATGCCAAACTAAATTCCGAAATGTAATCAATAGGGACAGGAGGATTGTATTTTAAAATAGCCAACACAAATTCGCTCTGCAATCGCTCATTGCAAAATGAAAATGTGTTTGAAGTCTAAAAAGTCACCCAGCCTCCACGTGAGCTGCAATACTCTCAGTTTCTGTGAACACGCTAAACCTCTAAACAATTTAACGAATCAGCAGATAGGCAGAACACTTTGACTAATCCAAGTCTCTGTGGGGTGTCACATGACAAACCCAAAACATTAAAATATGCTAGCTCAAAACGATTACCCCCTACTTTAAGAGTATTCATAAGTTTTCCAGGTACTTTGTAGGTACAGATAAACTGATTACAGACAAGGCACCAGTCAGGTTGTGATGGTCTCTGCTAGGGAGGTTGCTAGGGAGGTTGCTAGGGAGGTTGCTAGGGAGGTTGCTAGGGAGGTTGCTAGGGAGGTTGCTAGGGAAGTTGCTAGGGAGGTTGCTAGGGAAGTTGCTAGGGAGGTTGCTAGGGAGGTTGCTAGGGAGGTTGCTAGGGAGGTTGCTGGGGAGGTTGCTGGGGAGGTTGCTGGGGATGTTGCTGGGGAGGTTGCTGGGGAGGTTGCTAGGGAGGTTGCTGGGGAGGTTGCTAGGGAAGTTGTTACGGAACAGCTGATGCAAGCTGTCTAGCCCGTGCAAATACCAGAGCAAGGGTATGGTAGTACTGTAAAGTCACATACGTTTTATGCAACTAGTATCGTTAGTGCCACACACAAGTGTTATTTGGGTTAATGTCATTGTCATCTAAATGATACGGGTATGCTTTTTATTTAAATATTCCTCTGCAATTTTCAAAAAGGGTACAATGTTCAAGAAAGTATAAACCTATGTTTGAGAACGACTATTCAGCGCCAAAGTAGTAAAGTCACGGGCAGACTGAACGACTAACCAATATTTGTAAACACTTGGTGCTGCGTAAACATGTACAGTTTTATACAAACAAGGAAGTAAAGCATTAGTAACGCTTTCATTCTTATAGGCAGCAAATAAACACAAGTCTGAGGATGTAATACCCAGGTTATACAGTATAATAGTGTACATAATAGAATACGTGGACATGTCGATACGTGATTTATCTATTTACCTTCATTAGAAGTAAAAAATGTTCATCACTGAGTTTATTGAGAAAACAAAGAATCATCAAATGAGACTCAATATGACACGAATTATTTAAACGTCAATACTCTTATATACCCCTTATTTCAATACTTTTATATACCCCTTATTTCTCCAATTTCAGTTTAAATCTCAATTAATCTCCCCAAAATCTTTATTTTCCTGTTCCCTTTCTAGACTCAGGATCTAAAATCTTCCGTGTTAGTATTTATTGGCCGTACTATTCGAACTCTATAGCTGAAATCTAAGTTTCAAAAGTATAATATTATTCATAAAATAAAGTACAAATACAAATTGATTTTAGAAAACTAATTTGTTCAAGAAATAGCAAATTATAAATAAAACATAAAATATTTACGAAGTGAATTCATCAGATAATATTGCAAGCTGCAATTTAAAGAAGAGTTCACAACTATCGTATATTAAAGTTCGCGTGCAAACTGGGCACTACAATGTGGAACATGTGTATTGTGTAACAGATATCATGAACTTACAACTTTACCCTCTTCAGGTCATGGTCGGTATAACAGCATGTTTCTAGAGTCAACTTCTCATGTCAATTAGCACTAATTAGTAGTAATAATTAGCACTAATTAGTAGTAATAATTAGCACTAATAAGTAGTAATAATTAGTACTTTGTGCTTACACTGAATATCGAATATTTAATTTCACGTTAATTCCTCCGGAACCAAAGGCAACGTGTAGGTGCAGCAATATTTTGTAAATAGTGCGATTCCGCACCTGCCCAAAACTTTTTTGTGCGGCAAAGACAACAGAACACTGCAATTCAGCTAAAATATTCGCCACATTTGCAGCCTTAAATTTTTTCAGGTTGGATTATTCAACAGCGTAGTGTAACGTTGCCTTAAACGACTGTTTTCTTTAAAACGACAATCAAACTTACAAGGTGTCTATTGTCTAACGTAATGTCTTATGTACTGAGTTTCTTGACAATTGAAGATGTATAAACCTAGAATTATCCTCATAGAAGGTTTTACCATTAAATGGGAAGAATGGCTATTTATAGCTGGGGCTAGTTGAGCTGGTCATGAGCACAATTAAAGTAGGATATTTAATATTATAACTTTATAATTATAACTTTACAATATAAGATTCCAACACTTTGTTTGTATGAGCAAATGACGTAGTAACCAAAGTGACCCAATTTCGATATGTTGAGGGATTGCGATCCAGCTTGACATGTTGCCAAGGTTCACCCTCGATAGTAATAAAAGTCGATACATTATCAATTTACCATCTGAATGATCTGATAATAGTAATAAAAAACTAATTATATACTTTGCGATGGTTTTAATGTTACGTCACGAAACTGGTGTTTAAGACCCTAACCAAAGTTATGGGCATGTCGATCTTATCTCATTGTACAGTGTACACACTACACAGCGATACCAAGTTGACGTTCACAAATCTGATTATTATTATTATATTATTAATCAACTATATACAGCAAACACAAGATAAAAGAAAATAAATCATAAAATCGAGTGGCCGAGTAGTCTCGACTTACCCATAGCTTCTCCATAAACGTCTATCATGAGCTTTGTACACTAAATCGTTGAAATTACTTAAATTAAATCTTTTATTTACAATCACAATAATGTTCTTCGTCATAATGTCTTTTAATAATAAATCAAATAAATTTGAACGAGGTCTGCCCCTCCTTTCTTTGTAGTCAAGACATCCTAAACATGCAAATCTGAAAGATAAGAAAGCGGGAGTGTCATCACCGCTTCTGAGAACGTGCCCAAGCATCTTCCATCCTGCTTTCTTGATCCTTTCAGTAAGGGGTCTGACATTACATCTCTTATATACGTTCTCGTTACTGATAACCGTAGGCCAATAGGTGTTACTGTTGATTATCTGTCTCAGATGCTTCCTTTGAAGAACGTCGACAGATGCCATTACGGTTTCAGGAGCAGCCCAGCTGCTACAATTATACAACAACACTGAAGCGACAAGAGCTTCGTACAGCTTCAGCTTTCTACTCTCACTGATCTGAACAGAATTATTCAACCAGACTTTCTTGTAGGTGTATGCAAATCAAACGAATAACGGCCGATGTAGCAAAAAGTGCGGCGATAGGTCAACAGTGCGATTCCGCACCCATCGCACTTATAATTATATGTTGCCTGTGCTCTAGAACTTGAACTTTTGAGTTTTGGGTAACACTCTCTCATGAATTCCTTCTACCAACATCGTGCAATAAAACGCTAGCTGCACCTCTCTCGTAACTCAAAATATCCGTTACGAATAATTACAAAAAAGGCCTTTTTAATCGCCTATTAAATGTTTTACAGGCGAAAAGTTCATTACTTACCCAGTCTACATATATATTCAAATATCCAAATTAGAATATTTCTCAACAGGGAATTTCAACATTATATAAATGCAGTGCATTGTGTCTTTACTCTTTATAACGTTATAAGATTAGCTGCACACCAGACATGGGCGCCGCAGTCATGCTGCATACGCCGCTGCCGCCATCAAAATTCAAATATTCCACGCCGCAGTGCCTTACATTTTTAACCAATTTTAAATTAAGATGATTACGATATTCGAAAAATGCTCGATCTTAACTTTAATCTACGCTTAAACACCTGTATGTGGTGTATCAATATAATCGATATCGTGCCTGTAATACTAATGATTTTTAGATGGAGCACGCAAGCAATAGTTGCGGCAAAATTATTTCACGCCGATGAGCAAAATATGGCTACACGCCGCCGCCAGATCATTTGACAGTGGCTCAAACATCTGACGCACATGAACATAGCTTTCATAATTTAATATTTTAGGGCTGGTGGTGTTAACGCGACGAGTTGTAGCTATGCTTGTTTCAATGATTAGCCTTATAATTGTGATATTTATTTTTCTCGGTACAACTATAATTCTCGAATTGGCTTTCTTTAAAGAGTTCTTTCCCAAAATCGCCAATATGTGATTTTTGCAAAAGTTATTAACGTTTCAAAATGATGACAGAATTATATATTGTACTTATTTTATTAGGCTCCTTACTAGACTCTCTTTTGATAGTTTACATACCAGAAGACAGGGGTTTCTTTGAAAAATCGTCTGTGATTTATAAGGAAGTACGAGCTTTTCAGTATCTGATGCAGCTTCGGTGGAAGTTTCTATAGTAATGTTTCTATAGCGATGTTACCTGTTACTTTAGTGATGGTACTGGTTACTATACAGAAATCAGGCTAGCACGTGTTAAATTTCCTTGTATTTTAGTAGTAACTACAAACCAGGAAAAGGAATCGCCCTCGGATGCCATTGTGCTGCAACAATACAAGACGACCAGTATTGGAGGGAGCGTCACGTGGTACTGGAGGGAGTATTGCTCAATAATACAATTAACAAACTGCAGCCTATCTCATGTGACTAGAATACTGCTCTTTGCTTAGC